GCGCAGGGAGTCCTGATGCAGGAAAGGTTGCAGCTGTGCAAAAGCCCTCCGGGCCATGCCTGACAGTGACTCCAGGAGAACCCCTAGGTTGCAAACTGGGCCTGATGGGAGCGGGGGGGGGAGAACCCATCCTGAACTAAGGGTGGCAGACACTTGGATCCCAAGGCTCCACTATTACTTAGCCCAAGGAGCAGCGTTGTCTGGAGACACTTCCATGCCTCTAATAGGGGCCAGCATGACGAGACACTCTAACGCTCTAATCACATTTCCCTGCTTTCGAACTGCTATTGGGCAAGAGCTGAGGCAAGGAACGGGAGCTCACCCCATACATAGCACACAGGTCTTGAACCCCGTTGTCAGCTTAATGATAATAATATAGAGAAGAATTTAAAAAGTAGAGTATTTATTCCACAGGAAAAGTATTTATCTGATTCAGCAATAATAGCAATAGCACTTAAGACTTATATACCGTTTTACAGCCCTCTCTAAGCAGTTTTACAGTCAGCCTCTTGCCCTCAACAATCTGAGTCCTTATTTTATTGACCTTGGAAGGCTGAGTCTACCTTGAGCCTGGTGAGATCTGAACTGCCAAATTGCTGGCAGCTGGCAGTCAGCAAAAATAACCCTGCAGTACTGCACTCTAACCACTGCACCACCGCTGCTCCTCATACTACTACTACTTTGGAATTATGGCTTGCTGGGACTGAGTAAGCCAGATAGGGAACACTCCTTGGCTCTTCTTCAGTTACTCAACTCCCTGCACTCACGAAGGAGCTCACTGCAGAATGTTCAGGACTCAAAATGATTAGTTAATAGTTTCACAGATAGTCCTCAAGTTATGACCATAATTGAAGCTGGAATTTTACAAACTTTTTTTGTGGCGATCATTAAGCAAACCCATTTTCCACAACTGGCATTTTTTGCAGGAAACTGGAAGTAACTGGCAAAGCGCACCAAAAATCACAGTCTTATGACCATGAGACACTGCAAGTGGTCATAAATACGAGCCAGTTAGCAAAAACCTAAAATGCAATCACGAGATTTGGGGGGACGGGAGGCTTGTCTGAACTCTGAAATCTGGCTGTGAACAGCAAGAGATCTGTTGCAATAGTTGCTAAGTGAGTAGTTATTAAGTGAGGATTATCTTTATTGCAACATTGTAATATTGAGAAACACAGAGAACTTATAAAAACTAGGTACAAGGGACTCTGGGTGCAGCAGTTCACATTTCTTTGCTGCAGGTTTCCACTGTTTCCATAATGTCATTTATGTGGTGATGTTTGAAATGTTTGAAATGTTTATTCCATTTGTATGCCGCCCTATTCCCGAGGGAAAGTACAAAGTACATAAATCTGCAAGAAACCCAACTTTAACTCAACAGAGATCCTTGATTAGTAGACGCTCCGCTCCACTCCACTGAACTGTTTTTGTGTGTCCAAAATCAGATTCCAGACTTTCAATCTTTCTCCCACTTTTTGTAATAGGAAATTGGAGAATGAAGGGGACAGAATGATTTGCAACTGAATAAACCAGATTCCCCCTGATTTATTGAGACGGGGATACTGAGCAATATGCATAATTTATCTGCTTATTTCTGATAAGATAGAATTCTAAAGGATTTCAATTTATTAGATGCAAACTGGCCCCATGTTGTTCTACACCAACCTGATGAAAACTATAAGAAAACATCAGGGTTGGTGTTAATCTGCCTTGCATATATTCTTAGTATATAAAGGAGATGAAATATAATTTTAAGTCATCCATCTCTGTGAGTTGGGTCCAGCTCTACTACGTATGAAGAATGACATAAAGTTTTTCTCCAATCGCCTGAGAGTAAATTACAGCTAGGAAATTACACAACTTTTCTGCCCGAAGGCAAGGGAGGAACCCGGGGTTTGCAAAAGCAAAGCAAGCAGCCCCAGCCTTTCGGACCCTGGAGGAGCCATTCGACATATTACCTGCTGAGCAAAATCTTTCTCGAGATCTCCATAGCTTGTGTAAGTTTTAATGCCTCCCCACTTCTCATCTCTAAGGATCACAAACTCTGCAAAAAAGTGAAGATGTCTGTTAAACAAGAGCACAGCCTTACATATCAGGCCACATTTAGTACCGAGCATCCTCAAATATTCTTTTGGCTAGGATAAGGCATCACAACGACCTACAAAGATCTCACTTGATGCCCACCTGACTCCAGGCCAAACAGGTTCTTCAACCAGGTTCAAAGTTCATTTTAGAGCCCTGGGAATTAGGTCAAACTTCACCTGGAGGACTGGGACCAATCTAGGCTGTTCACTTTTGATGAAGATCAAAATCACAAATCACAAAAGGAACCAAGACAGACAGTGGAATGGAAAATAATTTCAGTGGGGTAGGAGGGAAGAACCTGTTTGGCCTGGACAGAGGATCTACAATTAGCCTGTAACAGCACTTCCTGAAGCACTAGAAGAGCAAGAAGACTCACCTTCCCGTGGGGTCCTTGGTGTTCCCTGAGTTTGTTTTCTTATAGATGTTTCATTACCCAAACTAGGTAACTTCATCAGCACTCAGGAGGTTACCTAATTTGGTCATGAATTCTGCAAGAAAACCATCAAGCTCAGGGAGCACCAAGGACCCCACAGTTCAGCCCTGGACAACAAACATTCTCTCCTATTGGTCCTTCATTTCTGTTATGCCCACAGTAAGAACTATACTAAGAGCCCAAATGACAAGAAGGTAGATTTTGACTGAATTAGCGACATGGCAGATGGACTCTCCCACAGAGTTCCCTTGCTTGGCCCACCACTGACTTCTTTTGCCACTTTAAGGAATACCCCCATCACCCTGGCTTCAGGATCCTGCCAGGCACATCCATCCATTTTCCCCACTGCTTAGGATTCCTATTTCAGCTGGTAGAAAGGCATGAATTGGGTAGGAGGAAAACAGCCTCTGAGTTCCCTTGTCTCCTCCTTCCCCTACAAGGCCAGTGCTAACCCTCTTGCCTTTGGCCACTTGGGAGCTTCACCTGATCTAAGGGGGAAGAGCACGTGCTTGATGAAGGACAAGACCCCATTGTTCTCCACATTCCCTGGCTCGCAAAAAGCCTTCTTAAGCTTCTTTTTCACATCCTCTTTTCGATCCAAGAGATCAATCTTAGACTCCTAGAAGGAAGAAAAAGAGAAGATGGTCAGACATTACTGTTCAGACACAATTTGAAGGATTATTTTAAATAAAGAGGAACCATGATAGGGTTTCAATAGGGTATATTTCTCAACCTTGGCAACTTTACGATGGATGGATTTCAACTCCCAGAGTTCTGCAGCCATCATTAATGCATTCCCCAACATGAATGCATGCTGGCCTGGGAATTCTGGGTCCTCCCATTTTAAAATTCCCAAGGATTAGAAACCCTGGATTGGACTTAATACCACATGTATAATGTCTACCCCTTGATATTCATTGAATTCTTGAATATCACTCTCCAACCTTTTCTTTTTGTTAAAGTTTCACTGAGCGTGAGAAGGACCATTGACTTACCTGAAGGGTCATTTTCAGGGCGCTGCGAAGGAGAGTCCAAGCAAGGGTTAAATACAGCCAAACTGCCCAGAGCTGAATTGAAACTTTAAGCCA